AAAAAAGTTGAGGTTTGCATGAAGCTGGATGACAGCATGTCCAGGAGACTACAGGCTGTCATTGAGGCTAAGGGTTGCCCGACAAAGTATTCATAGTCGTTTAAATACTGTCATACTAACAGCTGTCTGAATATTTTTTGGTTGATTGTAATCTATTACATACCTTTCTATCAGAATTTTCTAGCATTATCAAGATTGAATTTGTTCTGACACAGTTTAACTCTGAGTTCTTGTCATATTTTATTACCATTTTCTAAACTATAGCGAATAAACTGTGATAATGTGAGAAATGTTGAAGGTGTCTGAATAAATTTTGGTTTGACTGTATCTATTTGATAAATGAAGTTAACCAACTAACATTATACATACCCTTTTGGTTTCTGTACCCAATATTTAAAAAATGTACAAATGCAATAAAAATATCGGTATCGGTACTCTGTATCGGCAAGTACCAAAAATAGAAGTATCGGTATCGGGCGAGTACTGGAAAAAGTGGTATCGGTGCATCCCTAATTAAAATATGATTTTATTTCTGTCATGGAAAAGTTTTCTTTGATGAATAGAAAGTTCTAAAGATCAGCAAGAAACAAATATCTTTGATCAATTCAATCCTTGCTGAAGAAAAACTATAACCCCTAACTTTTGAATGGTAGTCTTTGGCAGGTTCTTTAACTATCTAATAGTTGTTCATACGCAACCATAATCATACGACTGTGTTTGTTGTAGGTGAGCGTGTTGGAGGGTTCACAGTGGTGTGTGCTGATGCTGAGGAGGCAAAGAGGGTGGAGTCTCAGCTGAAGATCCTGATTCGCCCCATTTACTCCAACCCACCCATGAATGGAGCACGCATTGCCTCCACGATCCTCAGCACACCAGAGCTGCGTTCTACATGGTGAGACTTGCTTTAATACTACATAAAAACTTGCTTTCATAAAAGTTCATGCCTTTTTTGACATAAATGTATTTCTGTAGGCTGGAGGAGGTGAAGGGTATGGCCGATCGTATCATTAAAATGAGACAAATGCTGGTAACTAATCTGATGAAGGAGGGCTCTACTCACAACTGGCAACACGTGATTGACCAAATCGGCATGTTCTGCTTCACTGGACTCAAACCTGAGCAGGTACAACCCTTTGCAAACTCAAAAATTCGAATAATTATGCTTATGTATAATTAAATGTTGTAAATTGGTACAAGCTCTAACAGTAGGAGATGCTATTGTGTTTCAGGTGGAGCGTCTGACAAAGGAGTTTTCTGTTTATATGACTAAAGATGGCCGTATCAGCGTTGCCGGTGTGACCTCTGGAAATGTGGGATACCTTGCACATGCCATTCATCAGGTCACTAAGTAGATCAAACTTACGTTGAGACAGAAGATCGGTCTACTGGTCCTGTTTCTGTTAGTCCGCCCCGCTGTTCCTCTTTGGACTCAGATCTTGGCTTCACTTCATTTGGCTGTTTTACTAGGTCAACATGGATCCTGAACATGTTATTTGGGTGTCTAACGGTAACCTTAATTCATCTCACAGGAAATCTTGTGATTCTCTGACTAATAAGCACATTTTTCATCCTGTTAAGATTCTGTATGAACTTTATTTATTGTGTGAGTGAAGTAAAATTAACAATATTAAAGGTTATTGTGTCCATTTAATTGTTTTTTTTATTTTCATTGTTAGGGGACACAACACAACACACACACACTGTAAACCACATTGATACTCAGTAAAATTACAGTACCTTTTTTCTTTAATGAAAATTAATTTAGATTTTTGTACACTTATACAAAAATCTGTCAAAGTGTGTGTCAAAATAGGCTTATTGGAAGTTACCTAGCGGGGACTATTTTCAGGCACTGCGTAATATCATTGCGTCTGCTGCACCCATAGTACGGCAGCAAAGTTCCTTGATTATTACGCCTGAATGAGAGTATAGTTCCTAGCCATATCGGCCTAGAAAATCGCAACTTTTCATTTCCGTCGGTCTTCGTACACGATGTGACTACAGAAGAGTCTAGTTTTAAATAGGAAAAATATAGAAACTCTTTGGTCATTTTTGAGCGAGATGCTAACGGTCTAATCAGAGTCATTGATCTATGCTAAGCTGCAGCTAAGTGCTACCGCCAGACCCGGAGATCGGCTGAATGGGATGAATAGAAAGTTCTAAAGATCAGCAAGAAACAAATATCTTTGATCAATTCAATCCTTGCTGAAGAAAAACTATAACCCCTAACTTTTGAATGGTAGTCTTTGGCAGGTTCTTTAACTATCTAATAGTTGTTCATACGCAACCATAATCATACGACTGTGTTTGTTGTAGGTGAGCGTGTTGGAGGGTTCACAGTGGTGTGTGCTGATGCTGAGGAGGCAAAGAGGGTGGAGTCTCAGCTGAAGATCCTGATTCGCCCCATTTACTCCAACCCACCCATGAATGGAGCACGCATTGCCTCCACGATCCTCAGCACACCAGAGCTGCGTTCTACATGGTGAGACTTGCTTTAATACTACATAAAAACTTGCTTTCATAAAAGTTCATGCCTTTTTTGACATAAATGTATTTCTGTAGGCTGGAGGAGGTGAAGGGTATGGCCGATCGTATCATTAAAATGAGACAAATGCTGGTAACTAATCTGATGAAGGAGGGCTCTACTCACAACTGGCAACACGTGATTGACCAAATCGGCATGTTCTGCTTCACTGGACTCAAACCTGAGCAGGTACAACCCTTTGCAAACTCAAAAATTCGAATAATTATGCATATGTATAATTAAATGTTGTAAATTGGTACAAGCTCTAACAGTAGGAGATGCTATTGTGTTTCAGGTGGAGCGTCTGACAAAGGAGTTTTCTGTTTATATGACTAAAGATGGCCGTATCAGCGTTGCCGGTGTGACCTCTGGAAATGTGGGATACCTTGCACATGCCATTCATCAGGTCACTAAGTAGATCAAACTTACGTTGAGACAGAAGATCGGTCTACTGGTCCTGTTTCTGTTAGTCCGCCCCGCTGTTCCTCTTTGGACTCAGATCTTGGCTTCACTTCATTTGGCTGTTTTACTAGGTCAACATGGATCCTGAACATGTTATTTGGGTGTCTAACGGTAACCTTAATTCATCTCACAGGAAATCTTGTGATTCTCTGACTAAGCACATTTTTCATCCTGTTAAGATTCTGTATGAACTTTATTTATTGTGTGAGTGAAGTAAAATTAACAATATTAAAGGTTATTGTGTCCATTTAATTGTTTTTTTTATTTTCATTGTTAGGGGACACAACACAACACACACACACTGTAAACCACATTGATACTCAGTAAAATTACAGTACCTTTTTTCTTTAATGAAAATTAATTTAGATTTTTGTACACTTATACAAAAATCTGTCAAAGTGTGTGTCAAAATAGGCTTATTGGAAGTTACCTAGCGGGGACTATTTTCAGGCACTGCGTAATATCATTGCGTCTGCTGCACCCATAGTACGGCAGCAAAGTTCCTTGATTATTACGCCTGAATGAGAGTATAGTTCCTAGCCATATCGGCCTAGAAAATCGCAACTTTTCATTTCCGTCGGTCTTCGTACACGATGTGACTACAGAAGAGTCTAGTTTTAAATAGGAAAAATATAGAAACTCTTTGGTCATTTTTGAGCGAGATGCTAACGGTCTAATCAGAGTCATTGATCTATGCTAAGCTGCAGCTAAGTGCTACCGCCAGACCCGGAGATCGGCTGAATGGATTCGAAAACGGTAAAATGTAACGGTTTAACTCTAGGGGAGTTGGAAAATGTGCCTATTTTCAAAAATAGTGGAGTGTTCCTTTAAATAACGTTTTAAGAATTCGATTTAAAAGAATTTAAAAGAGTCTGCACTGTTTAGGTTTCTAATCAAAGTCGTATTTTGCCAGCTAATTGATAAACTTACATTTCCCCTAAATTAAAGAAAGATATTTATTTGATTCCCCCCCCCCCCCCAATAATTTAGTAGTTCAACAGTGCTGTAAAAAGAATATAAATATTATGTAAAGCGGCGGAAATTATGCGGTAATGGGATTGTGCACAATGCTACTGCTTTATATTACATGTTTAATTAAAATGAGTGAATAGAATATCCCTTTTACTTCAAGGAATGTATTAACCTATTCAAAGTAAAAATATAAAATATAATGTTTTTGTATTATTTGCATTGTTAGAAACAATAAAGAGCTGTTAAATATGGTCTGTTTCTAGGGGTATAGACGGTATAGTCATTTAATTATGCATTATAAGAATGCAAAAATATTCTATACACTACGTAGTATTGATGGGTTTTAATGCTTTAGAATTCCTGGAGATACAAAGGGTATCCAGGTAATATAAATCTTTACAGAGAATAGTCAAAAGGGGCATTACAGATAGAAAATTACACTTTAAAAGAAAAACGTACCTAGAAAAATAAAATTTCTTAGAAAATATAATATATAATATAGTTTAACTCCAATTCATCCAGATTCATCCACAACATTGTATGCATGTTGCAAAGTGGAGTCTTATCAGAGATGTTAAATTAGATATTACATATCTATTATAAAACTCGGCGAATACAGTAGAATCGACTACATTACCCATAAGCTGAAAGTCATGTGACTGCAGCGCGCTGCGCAGACCGATCAGTGCATGACATCAAAGTACCGCGAGAGCGATTCGTTCTCGCGGTACTTTGATGTTGTACACTGATCGGAGGCGGCAGCTGCATCTTTATTTCTGTTTCTCACTGAAAAACCTCACACTTGTGCTCTTCGGTACAGTACAGCATCAGCGAAGAACATACACATGAGGTGAGATATCTGCTTTATCACATCTCGTTCGTACAGGGAGAGTTTATTAGCTAAATAAACGCAGTGTTGCTGTTTGAGTCATGTGATTGGTCGGGCTTCGTCATGGCATGTTTTGTGTCTTTCTGATTTGTTCACCCTCCTAATGCAATGAATATAGAGAATGAATATGATGGTTATGAATGAAAGAAGTCTTGCCTAGTAGTGTTTGATCATGGCGGTGTCAGTTGACTTGGCATGGTGTTTTGATTGTATCTTGTTAGTGAACCTGATAATTAAGGATAATCCCATTGCATTGTGGTAATGTCACTGCTATAATGTTGACAAACGTCTACCACTGTCTTATGTGCGTCCTAGAACATTTAGGATAGGATAAAGATTTCAAGAAAAATTCGATACTCAATACACTATTGATCAGCTTTTCATCGAGCTGCTCTAAAGATAAGGTTCAGACAATGCTGCATTCTTTCTGCTGTGGACAGCATATTTCATTTCCTCATCACTTGTCTGAAATGTCAATTGACAATTGTGTCCCGTGACTCCCAGACGTGTCCTAAAGTGCAAACCACACTGGCTGTCGTTTTATGATGCTGATCTATCGTTTTAATCAATTTGTGAAAACATCTTTCAGACAAGTAAGTAGCAAACACACTACGGTTCAAAAATTGTTTTGAAGGAAATTAATACTTTTAATCAAAAAGGATGCATTAAATCAAAAGTGACAGTAAAGACATCAGAGAATCCTGAAAAAAAAATGTTGCACGATTTCCATAAAAATATGCAGCACAACATTTTTTAATCAGTCATAATGTTTTTCAATGTGGAAATGTTACTTGAACGCCAAATCAGCGTATTAGAATGATTTCTGAAGGATCATGTGACACTGAAGACTGGAGTAAAATTACATTTTAAAATATATTAAAATAGAAAATTTTTAATTGTTGTAATATGTATGTGCTGAGTAATACAATCAAATGTGTCCTAAAATGCAAACCACACTGTAATTTTATGATGCTGATAAACTGTTTGCCAATTTGTGAAAACACCATGTGGTATTTTTTCCCTCTTTTTTCGCAGGTGACATTGATCACAAAACACAACAGCCTGTCTTTAACTGGATGGACTCTGTGGATGTGCGTTAGTCCCAGGAGTGTGTGTGTGTGTGTGTGTGTGTGCACCTTTTGCCCCTCAATGGTGGCATCTGACTGACAGCACAAGTGTGTTTGCCTCTACCTTTGCCCTATGGTGTTCTTGTAAGTTTATCTGAGAGTGTGTGAGAAAAGCAAGCGTCATGTCGAGGGCGGACAGGGCGATTAACAGTGAAGCGGGTGACTGGGGATACAGTGAGGATGCTGGAGAAAGGGTATGGCTCTTGCAGAGCCCCAGTGTGGACTCCATCCAACCACCTAATCAATCAGACGACACAAGGGGAGGGACTTCATCATTCGGGGCTGTTTTTATTGTGGTGAATGCTGCTCTGGGAGCTGGACTTCTTAATTTTCCTGCTGCTTTCAACATGGCTGGAGGCATCACAGCCGGAGTGACCCTTCAGATGGTGAGATGCACTTACAAACTATTGTAAACAAAACCATGCAGTGTTCACTTAAAATAGAGGTGTCTGTTCTTTAAAGTTAAATGTTGTGAAATTCCTAATATGCCTTATTCAATCTTTCGCAGTGTATGATGGTCTTTATCATCACTGGGCTGGTGATCTTGGCTTATTGTTCTCAGGTAAGCAAATATCTGTGTCAGACACATCAAGAGATATGCACTACCATTCAGACTTAAAAAATGTTTCAACTTTTAATTCAGCAAGGAAGCATTTAATTGTTAAAACATTGCATAAAGACTTTTAACATTGTTACAAAGGATTTCTATTTTAAATAAATGCTGTTCCTTTTAATTTTCTATTCATCAAAGAATCCTGAAAAAAAAATCCAAAAAATATTAAGCAGCATAAATGTTTTTAACATTGATAATAATGAAAAATATTAGAATGATTTCTGAAGGATCATGTGACACTGAAGATGGCTGCTGAAAATTCAACTTTGCCATCACGGGAATAAATCCATTTTAAAATATATTATGATAAAAAACTGTTATTTTAAATAGTAATAATATTTCACAATATTACAGTTTTTATTGTATTTTCGTTTTAAACAAATTCAGCATTAGAGACTTCTTGCAAAAACATTTTTAAAAAATCATACTGAAAGGTAGTGTATTTCTTTTCTTTCCTTTAAAAAGGCACAATGGATTAAATCTTGAGATTAATCATCATATACGTTACTTTTTATGTATTGACAGCACTAGTTTCTGTTTTAAAAAAAAAAAGTCACAGAATATTGACAATAGGGGACCTCAGAAGTACAAAGGCTGCAATCCATTGCTTTACACTTCACATTTTTTAGGTGAGCAATGAAACAACATATCAGGAGGTGATTCGTGCAGTGTGTGGGAAGGTTCTTGGTGTCGTATGTGAGCTGGCCATTGCTGTTTATACATTTGGCACCTGCATAGCCTTCCTTATTATTATTGGAGATCAGTTAGACAAGTGTAAGTATGTTCATATATAGTATATATAGATATGTCAAAATAGTCTAAAGAGAGTAGTCTTATTCCCTGTCTTTCTTCCTACAGTGATTGGCGCAATAAATCATGAGTCAGAGAAAGCAATTAGTTCACACTGGTACACGGATCGTAAGTTCACCATCACTTTAACCTCAGTGCTGATCATACTGCCTCTATCCATACCCAAAGAGATTGGCTTCCAGAAGTATGCCAGGTAAAAACCTCTTGTGTTTTTATTGTTTTATGCAGTGCAGTGTTATGTCACAGCTGTGATTAATGCAAGTGTTTTTGCTTAAAATGTTCCTCAGTATTTGCTGGTTAATTCATACATGCACATTTGTACTGATTAATCTGTAGCACCCTGAGTGTTATTGGCACCTGGTATGTGACAATCATAATCATTGTCAAATACATCTGGCCCGACAAAGATGTTTCTCCAGGAATCATCCCAGTCAGGTCAGAAGTACATAAAAAATAGTTATTTGAGTTACAAATTACAGAAGAGGTTGTGATCACTACTATAATGTGATGTTTGTTATCTTTCAGCCCTGCATCCTGGACCGATGTGTTCAATGCCATGCCCACAATCTGCTTTGGTTTCCAGGTTTGTGAACTTTACTATTCAGAATTTATTTATTTATTTTTTAGATTTTTTTTGTTTTTTGTACATTTGAGACCTTTTTTAATTTTTTCTCTGCTCACCAAGGCTGCATTTGTATTTTACAAAAATAAAGTAAAAACAAATATAATTAAATATTTTCACAATGTAAAATAACCATTTTGTACTTAAATATATTTTCAAATATAATTTATTCCTTTGATGGCAGAGCTGAATTT